CTGCGAAGTGAGACAAGAACCCAGTAACCCTGGGTCCCATGTGACAGAGGCGTAACGGGAGAAAGTGACTCTTACTTCTCCCCCACTTCACATGAGCCACTCTTGGGGCCCACAGACATCAGTTCCCTTCTAAAAATGCTATCAAAATTTCCTGCCTATGTTCCATGGAAAAAATTCATTATGCAATACTCAGGCCTCAAGACACAAAACAGTGTGAGGGTTCACTTTTGATTCTTTTCTTATCTTCCCTGCACTCCCCCCACCCCCCAGCTAAAAATGAGCTCCTGGGGGATGTGTCACTAGGGAGGCTCAGGCAGGAGCAGGAGCCAGAGCTGAGGGAGGACCTGAGGGGACCAGAGTACTGTGGTGCCGCGAGAGAGATTCTTGACCTGGAGAACAAGTCGATGGCTGACAGCCTGACCTGCCTGGGGTCTCTAGTGTCCTGGGCTCCCCAAGACTTACCTTCAAAATACTTTCTAAGGATTATTGAGTTCAATGGAATACTATGCAGCTGTAAGGAGAGATGAAGTCATGAACTTTGCTTATAAATGGATAGACATGGAGAGTATCATGCTAAGTGAAATGAGTGGGAAAGAGAGGGACAGATATAAAAGGAATGCACTCATCTGTGGAGTATAAAGTAACATAACATGAGGTTGACACCTAAGGACAGTGGATACATGGGCCAGGAAGATTGCTCCATAGCTGGAAGCCTGTCTCATGAGTGAAGGGGAGAAGGCAGCTGGAATAAAGAAGGGATCACTAAGAAAATGAGGGCTGGAAGAATCAATCGGGATGGGAGATGTGTGCTGAAATTAGATAACGGACCAAACATGATAATCTCTCAGTATCTGTATTGCAAATCATAATGCCCAAAAGTAGAGAGTATGGGGAATATTGTCTTCTATGGAGGCAAGGGGAGGGTGGGAGAGGGGGGAATATACCAGAGATATTGGTGGTGGGGAATGTGCACTGGTGGAGGAAAGGGTGTTTGATTATTGTGTGATTGTAAGCCAAACATGAAAGCTTGTAACTATCTTACGGTGATTCAATAAAATTTAAATTTTTTTAAAAAAAGGATTCGCGGCTGCGCGACATCTTATTATCTCATTCTTACTTTGGACAAACTGGCAGGCTACCGAATGTAGCCTGCCCACATGACAGAGTCTGGCAAACTCCTTGTGGCGTACCCAATATGCCATATACCAGTAACAATGATGGGTCTCATTCTCCTAACCCTGAATAAGCTAGGACGAAGGAGACGTTACTGGGGCCTGCTCGAGGCAATCGACGAACAAAAAAAGGATTATTGGTCTTGGGAATCTCCTTCTGGGGAGTCTGGAAACCTACTGCTGCCTCTGAGTGGGCTCTTGTAGGGTGACCCCTGAGGTACAAGGGCTTTCCCCCTTGAATCTGAAGCCTAGGTCTTCTCACCCACCTCAGTGGTACCAGCTGATGTAACCCACTTGTGATTGGTTGGTAGCCCTTCCCGCTCCTCAGGCTTGTCCTGTCTGGGTAATGCCATCTGAGGTGGCTAACTGTGACAGGAGAGTGTATGACATTGTCCTCATCAGCCCCATTTCCTCCAACCAACAGTCCTTAGTCCTGAAATGGCAGTTCCTCCTTGCCAGGTCTGCTGGCAGTGTGAACAGAGGGTTCCATACAGTACCTTTGTATCATGCTGAAATTCGGTCCTTGCAAAGGACTGGAATTGTGAGTGAAAAAGTAGATTATAGCCTTGTCCTGGATAACCCCTGGACTGTGTGTCTGTGTATCCAGAAACAGAAATTTAAATATTTTCAGGATCTACCCATCACCAAAGATGTGTTTCCAGGAGATCCCAATTCTAGAAACAGGCCTACCTATATTTCATTCAGGCAGGGGATGGGGCCTTTTCGTAGATGTGGATCTTCAGGATTTTTCAAAGGACCCAAAAGTCATCTCGGAAGGGTCTCAGGACTGTTTTGCCTTCATCAAGCCCTGCCCTTCCTCCCAGTGAGTCTCCCTTTCCCATGAGGCAGCTGTGAGCCATGACCCTTGTCTCCAGTTTGTGTACCCTGCCCTCCCACCCATCTCTCCCAGGCCTTCATTGCCCACTTGGTCAGCCCCACCTGGCTGGAGCAGCAGCACCTTCCCACACTTGTCCCACCTTATCCTGATCTTACCATAAAAGCACTAATGGCTGGACTGTTAAAAAAAAAAAAAAGAGCTCCTCTGGGGCATGGCCTGAGGCATAGTACAGTAGGCAGGGTGCCTGGTCACGTCCCTTATGGGATACTTATGTCATATGGTCCCCTGAGCACCACTAGGCAATAGTTCCTGAGTGAAGACTCAGGAATAAATCCTGAGCATCACCAGGAGTACACCAAAACAAAACAAAAAAGAGCTTTTCTCGATTTATTTTCTTTAAAAACAATTTTGGCGAAGGGAGGAGAGATAGTACAGCAAGTTGGGCACTTGCTCTGCTCTGCACATGGCTGACCTGGGTTCAATTCCCAGCACCCAATATGGTCCGATGAGCACCACCAGGAGTACTTCCTGTAGTAACCCCTGAACATTGTGTGAACAGGTGTGACTCAAACCACCCCCCACCCCAACACATTTTCTTTTTTGAGTGGAGGGGTGTTCGGCCACAGCTGTTCTCAGTCAGACCTTACTACTGGCTCTGTGTTTAGGGATCACTCCTGGCGATCTTTGACAGACTTTATGGGATACTGAGGATTGAACCCAGGTTGGCCAACTGCAAGGCAAATACCTAACCCAATGTTTATTTCTCTGACCTGCAAATGATTTTCATCAAGAAGTTTTATCTTGGGAGCTGGAGTGATAGTATAGCAGGTAGGGTGTTTGCCTTGCACACAGTTGACCTGGGTTCAATCCCAGGCATCCTATATGGTCCCCAAGCACCGCCAGGCATAATTATTGAGTGCAGAGCTAGGAGTAACCCCGGAGCATTGCTGGGTGTGACCAAATAAGCAAAAAAAAAAAAAAGTTTCATCTCATATGTTACCAACTTAAACTGAATACTGGTTTTCTTCAGCTATTAAAGAAGTATTTAAATTTTTGAAATATCTAATATTCAGCATTTGGAAAAATAAATTTACAAATGCATGTTAATAAATTTCTGACATATTCTGAGCAAAAGCTCTGATGTTTCTCTAAGATATGTAATTAAACTTATAATGATATGACAAAGAGTGGCTACCATGAGATATGGACATTTTTCAGTCCAGAAGATCTACTGGAGAGGTTCACTGTGGCATTCCTTCTTTTGTGATCATGATATTTTCCTTCCTAGATAAGTATTCACTCCTTCTTTTGAAACATACTTACATGCATGAGGCCTGGGATTGATTTCTGGCACGGAAAATATGAACAAAAAAATCCCAACAACAGAAAATAAACAAAAACTTGGAAAAATGCCCAGGGTCAGAGAGATAATCCAATGGGCTGGAACATATACTCAGCCCAGGATTGCATGGGACCCTGAGAACTGCAGAAAGTGACCTTGTACCCCACATCAACCCCACTGGACAAAGCTTTGAATAAGCTCTGAGTATTTCTGGCTGTGATTCAAGTCAATAAAAAAAAAAAACCTTGAAAAAACTGGTATAGCATATCTAGGAAATATGGGACTATATCTGTGTGATACACCTTAAAGAGAATGTAAAATCCCCAATGTAAACATGTTTAATGAAGAAAATGTCTTTGTGTTTGGAGTGATGGTAAAAATCAAAAGCACGACATCAAGATCACTTTTTTCCATCATGTGATCAAGGTTTCAGAATGCAATTACAAATACTACTTTTTGATAACAAATTATATGCCCATGTGTCAAAGAGATAGTATGGGAGTTAAGGCATTCAATTAACTCAAATTGCTTTGCCAGTGGCTGACCCTGGCATGATACCCAGCATCACAGATGGTTCCCTAAGCACTATCAGGAGTGATCCCCGAGCACAGAGCCAAGAAGGAGGCTTGGAGTACCATAGAGTGTAGCCCATCCAAAACAAACAAAAACCAGAAACCAAATTATATCCCAAACTTAACTAAAAACATTTATCTCAGATTTTGTGCTTTAGGAATCAGTACAGGAGTGGTTAGCAGAGCTCCCTGCTTCAAGGTCTGCCAGGTAGCTATGATGACTAGGATTAGTTGAAGACTCTACAGTGTAGAAGGCTATTGATATTCTTGGCTCTTTGCTTAGGCGGGACCCTGGCAAAGCTCAGGAAAATACACATGGTGCTGGGGATTCAACTGGGGTGAGCTCCATGCAAGCTTTACCTCTTGTACTATCTGTCTGGTCAAGCCTATGTTTCTTTTAATCAAACATTTTCCTCAATACAACAAAAATTAAGATTAGCAAATTAGCAACTGCAGGCAACTGCTAATTTGCTAACCAGTTTCTCTATCAACTACCTAAGGAGTGAATAATAATGTCTCAGATAAAGACTTCTGAGAAGACGGACATTTTCATAAATGTTTAATCTGAAAACCTCTTTTGAGTACATACTATGTGTTTTGCATACCATTGGAATGTGATGGAAATTTTATTGTTTGGTTTTTTTTCTTTGTTTGTTTTGTTTTTGGGTCATACCCAGCAATGCACAGGGGTTACTCCTGGCTTTTGCACTCAGGAATTACTCCTGGCGGTGCTTGGAGGACCATACGGGATGCTGGGAATCAAACCCGGGTTGGCTGCATGCAAGGCAAAGGCCTACCCGCTGTACTAACACTCCAGCCCCTGTGATGGAAATATCTACTATATATATTTTATGCTTTAGGAATCAGACAGGAGTGGTTAGTTGGGCTCCCTGTTTAGTTATATAGCAATGCAACTAAACAAGAGCACAGATTAGAAATTATTTCTGTATAGAATGGAGAAAAACGGTATAGTTACGAATATTATCTGTGGAACTCCTAGGATTAATCCAACTACAATATAATTACTACAATATCTTTAATCATAATGCTTCATATTTTTATTATTCGGTGATATTTCTATTAGAAAATAAATAAAAAATGTTCCTTTTCCTTGAAATAAGTGAACAATGTTACATATCAGCTGCTCAGATATGCAAAACATCACAGGTCTTTGGGAGAGAATAAATAGATACACTGAGTTTGATTGACACTGGGGTATTTTTTCTTTTAAGAGAAACATGGGAGTCGCATATATCAGTTTTTATCTTCAATGACAAGTGAAAGGTCCAAAATCAAATTAGCGGTCTCCACAGCCACCTGCAGGCCATTCAACTTAGCAGCGAAACAGTCCAAGGTCATGCTGGGAGCTGCGTCCACAGCTTCACGGGGAGGGCATGTCTGGGGCACAAAAGTATGAGGAGGACTCCTCAGGAAAGACCAGCTTAGCTCTTCCTGGCTATTGTACAGCCCACAGCCACATCTGGAAAGCAAATCTTGCCAGTTAACCGAAGAGGGAGAACTTGGCTGTACCGACCAAAAGTGTCCATATTTCATATCAGTGACAACTTCCCCTCCATCATGTTCCAAAGAGCCAGCAACAGATTCTAGCGCACGGCAAAAGGCTTCAGCAATCAGTCGAAGTTCTGTCTGAGTACACTCGTGATCTTTGAGGATGCTTCCTGGCTCGGTAGTAGTCTAAAGAGGAATCAGGACACAATGCATGGGTAACAGTTATTTGTACACACAGGAGGAAATACCTAATGACTAACATCCCAAACCAAGTACTTATTTATACATGGCAAAATGTGTGAGATTTATTTAAAATAAGAAAACTGGGAACAGCTCAGAGAACTGAAGCACAATGAGTGGCATATGCTGGCTGGGCTCTGGGTTTGTTCTCCAGCACCAACTGGTTTCCAGAGCACTGCTGGGTATAGCCCCGTTGCACCTACGTATTATTAAATCAAATACGATTTAGAGACATGGACCATTTTTACGTTTTTTTTAAAATTAATATTCTCTTTAAATTAATAAAAAGGTAGCATGACTTTAAACTGTTTTAGTGCCATTGTAATAAAAACTTTATTCTAGAAATGTCATGATAGAAAATATATCTACTAATCAACTAATAACTGAAAGACAGCTAAAGGCTCCTCCCAGAACTGGGAGACAGGACAAAGGTACATGTGCAGCATGTACATGCCATGTGTACCCAGGCTTGACCCCAGTACCACATGGTCCCTAAGCACCACTCACCACTGCAGTAGCCTGGGTATCCCTGGCCCTGCAGGCTTGATTCACACCCTGATCTCAGACCCTTACCTTAAACCACCCATACAGTTGGCTGAGAATTGCTGGTGGGGGTCCTGGTCTTTTTGAGGCCTATCTGGGTACCCCTTTCCCCACCCCCACAACCTCCACCCTTCAAAAGTCAAATGGAATCCTTCCTGCTTTTGCTTTTTTAATTTACAATACTGGATTGGAGCGATAGCACAGCAGTAGGACGTTTGCCTTGCGTGCAGCCAGCCCAGCCGAGCTGGGTTTGATTCCTTCGCCCCTCTCGGAGAGCCCGGCAAGCTACCGAGAGTATCTCTCCTGCACGGCAAAGCCTGGCAAGCTACCTGTGATGTATTCAATATGCCAAAAATAGTAACAAAATGGAGATATTACTGGGCCTGCTCGAGCAAATCAATGAACAACGGGAGGACAGTGGACAGTGGACTGCTAACAGCAGGGTTTCGTGCATGACACAAGCCCCCCTACCCTTGGCCCCCCCATCCTGTCCACCACTGTCCCAATGTCTCCCTCTTACCTAAACTCCCTCTCTCTTCCCTGTGGTAGCCTCCTACTGAAGATCTGCTCTCAGTTTCTGTTGCCCCTGGCATCTGTTATACCCCTACTGTGTTTCTTTATATCCCACATGAGTGGTACCATTCTGTGTCTCTCTCCTTTGTACTAATTCCACTCAGCACGATATTCTCCCAGATCCATCCATGTAGCAGCACAAACCTGACTGTCCAATGGCCTCTGGAGGATGGCGGCCACCAAGCCGCCAGGGAGAATAGGCCAAGGCATGAAACCTATTCCCACCTGGGGTGGCCCGGCACTGGTAACCTACTGCGGGGACCAGGCGCATTTCTGCCAAAAGCTGCTGGGTTCCGAGATTTGTTTCTGACTCTCTTGGATCATGGCTGTTAAGCAGTTTGATCAGGAGTCAGAGAGGCCATTCGTGGTGGCGACTCGGGGTCTCGTTGGGGTAGGGAGGAAAGGGCCAGATCCACCCCCATCCCATGAGGCCCCACGTGTCTTGTCACTGCGGGCCCAAACCTGACTATCCAATGGCCTCTAGAGGATGGCTGTTTGACCACTACTTTGGGCCATCTCCCTAACCAATTTTTTTTTTGAATTAAAGTATTAAAATTCATTCTCTTAGTAACTTTCAAATATGAAACAGAGTATTGTTGACTATAGACCACAACGTATGTTACAGTCCCACGTCTTATTTTAATTGTAAGTGGAAGTCTGCACCTTTTTAGCTCTTTCACCCATTTTTCCCACAACCTCTGGCAACTATCAGAATGTTCACTGTCACTGAGTAGGGCTCCTTCTTCTTCCCCTTTCCCATTATCCGCTCCCTTCTCCTTCTGCTCCTCCTCCTATTTCTTGTTTTTTGTTTTTGGGCCACTCCCAATCTCCATCAAGTTCAGAGGAAGTTCTTGAAAATTATTATCCAATAAAATATTTGTTTTGCAGAGATAGATAAATGGGACTATCTTAAACTAAGAAGCTTCTGCACCTCCAAAGAAACAGTGACCAAAATACAAAGACAGTCTACAGAATGGGAAAGGATATTCGCCGAATACACATCTGACAAGGGGTTGATATCCAGGATATACAAAATACTGGTTAAACTCCACAAGAAGAAAACATCCAACCCCATCCAAAAATGGGGCAATGAAATGAACAGAAACTTTCTCAAAGAAGAAATCCGAATGGCAAAAAAGCACATGAGAAAATGCTCTACATCATTAATCATCAGAGAGATGCAGATCAAAACCACAATGAGATACCATCTCACACCTCAGAGACTGGCCCACATTCAAAAGAACAAAAGCAACCAATGCTGGCGTGGATGTGGCGAGAAAGGGACACTTCTTCACTGTTGGTGGGAATGTTCACTGGTTCAGCCCTTTTGGACAACAGTATGGACGTTTCTCAAAAAATTAGAAATTGAGCTCCCATTTGACCCAGCGATACCACTCCTGGGAATATACCCCAGAGAGGCAAAAATGTGTAGTCGAAGTGACATCTGCACTTGTTTGTTCATTGCAGCACTCTTTACAATAGTCAGAAACTGGAAGAAACCTGAATGCCCAAGAACAGATGACAGGTTAAAGAAACTTTGGTACATCTACACAATGGAGTACTATGTAGCTGTTAGAAAAGATGAAGTCATGAAATTTACATACAAGTGGTACAATATGGAAAGTATCATGCTAAGCGAAATGAGTCAGAAAGAGAGGGATAGACATAGCAAGATTGCATTCATCTGGGGGATATAAAGTAACAAAGTATGAGATTAATACCCAAGAATAGCTGAGATCAGCACCAGGAGGATTACCCCATAACTTAGAGGCCAGCCGGGTATCCTAGAGGAAAGGGCAGTTCAGATAGAGAAGGGAGCACCAAATAAAGGATGTTTGGAGGATCCTCCCAGGAGGGGAGATGCATGTCGAAAGTAGACTATGGACTGAACATGTTTGCCACTCAATGCCTCTTTTGCAGACCACAACACCCAAACAGAGAGAGAGAACACAGGGGATTGCCCTGCCACAGAGGCAGGGGGGGATGGGGGATGGGGGTGGGAGGGATATTATCCATGGTGGTGAAAAACGGGCACTGGTGGAGGGATGGGTATCTGATCATTGTATAATTGAAACCCAAGCACAAAAAAAATTGTAAATCTACAACTGTAAAAAAATAAATAAATAAATAAATAAAATTTAAAAAATAAAAAAAAATATTTGTTTTGGGGCTGGAGCGATAGCACAGTGGTAGGGCGTTTGCCTTGCACGCAGCCAACATGGCCGACCCGAGTTTGATTCCTCTGCCCCTCTCGGAGAGCCCGGCAAGCTACCGAGAGTATCTCGCCCACACGGCAGAGCCTGGCAAGGTACCCGTGATGTATTCGATATGCCAAACACAGTAACAACAAAGTCTCCAATGGAGACGTTACTGGGCCTGCTCGAGCAAATCGAGCAAAATATTTGTTTATTCTGGTAATTTTTTTTTTTTTTTTGGTTTTGGGGCCACATCTAGTGATGCTCATGGGATACACCTGGCTCTGTAGTCAGGAGTCTCTCCTAGTGGTACCTAAGGGACTATATGGTAGTCCCCAGGGGAACCTGGGTAGGCCGGATGTAAGGCAAGCGCTTTACTCACTGATAACTTCAATTAGAGGTTTCATTATCAAATAGTTTACATTATTTGGGGAAACAGTGCAAGGCATTATTCTGCATATAGGCTGTAAAAGATGTAAATTTACATTTTCACTGATCCCAGTTTTCCACTAGAAGGACTGCAGAGGATCTGGTCACAAACCTTTCTGGCCAAAGAACCAATTAAAAATACTTGGAGAACATAAACCTATTTGTATTCGTTTTCAAAGTATTTCACTATGAGCTAGACTAAAATACTGTAATACTCTAATGCTGTAATTAGACTACAATAAATGAAACGTCAGGAAATGGAATTTCTTAAGTTAATAAAAATATCCTTCTTCAATAAAATATATAGCACAAAAGAATACCTGTTTTAAAATTTTACTAGAATCTAACATTTAGAATGCATTGATAAGTGACTTTTTTATTTTCTGGTAAAGGAAGCCCTGAAGTACTTTGTACCATAACACTTGCAATGTGAAACTCAATTACAGCACTATAGAGGTTGAGATCTCTAAGAATCCCCGCAAACACAAATTTATTTCAACATGGAATGTACACACACAATATGGAATGTACGCACACAATATTCAAAGAATGTCATTATTTGCGTACATGCTATGTTTATAGTTACAATTGCAATAAAGGTGTTACCATTTGCATATTTTGGGGGGTGCCAGAAGTCTAAGGGCCACTCGCAGTGATAACCTGGTTTGGTTGTGGGGACCTGAAAACGGAATGCTAAGGCCTGGTAAGGTCCTGCTGCTCAGGTCTGGAAGGGCCGTCTGAGTGGTGCTCAGGAGGCAGGTCAGGGACCAGACTCTGAGTCTCACACACTGCAGGTATGTGCTAGGGCCTTTCGAACTATCTCCCTGGCACTGTGAGCTTATATTTTCAAAACAGTATCTTCCTCAAATGATTTTAAATAGGACATTTGATTTTGACTATTGAGAAATAAAGCTCATTATCTCATAAAATGAGTAGCTGAGAATTCACCAACTCTGAGGGGGCCTCTACCTTGTGTCTGATGTAGGCAGCCAAATGTGTTTCAGTACATCCACCTCCCAACAAAGCGCATGGGTCCTTGAGTGTTAACTGCAATACATGCAGTGCTGCTTGACATGTGAGCTAAAAAAAAAAAAAAAAAATTAGAATCAGACTCTCACAAAGGAATAGAACAATGCTCTCAAGGCAACTTAGTGGACTTAAAGAGCTTGATTTTAAAAGCAAAAGAGCAAAACCTTTGTTGCCAAGGCTGTAATACAAATACAATGGGGAATTATAAAGATTAGAGATTACTGAAAAATACTTTAGCCAGATATTTGTTTTCAAAGACCAGATTAGTATTTTTTTTCAAATTCACTTAGCTCTTCAAAGTGAGATTTGCAAATGGATGGCCTTTGTATACCTGGGTCTTTAAGACTTGTTAGTATTTCCACTAAAAATATTTTAATCTACTAGTGTAGTAGCACTATAGCTACAAAACAGTAACATAAAAACTGCTGTAAATCATGTTACTTCAGTAGAAATGGGGCCAAAATTGTGTGTGTGGGGAGATTGTATTAATTATCACAACTGTTCATGAGATGGTAATGCTTAGGATTTCTTCTGATTCTTCAGAGCCAGTTATACACATCCCAAGAGAACTCTGGCCCAGGTTAGACTTCTCATCACACAGATGTCAGATTCCCTGCAGCACAACCAAGTATGGATCTAAATGAAACTGATTCTGATCTGAGGAGCATAACGAAGAATGGCAGAAACCAATCGGACACAAAGCTTTTTTAAAATCTGAGTTTAATATACATGTAAAATAATGAGCTTACATTATTTTGGTTTTAATGAACTAGTGTATAAATGCTATAGGATTTATTTCAAGGTGCTATAGAAATGACAACATAGCAACAAGCCAGTTGTAATAAATAGATAATACATAAAATTTTAATGCTCATTAAGTTATATTCTTGAGCATTTGTAAATAAGTTTTTCTCTTCATTTTTTTGGGGGGATACCTGGCAATGCTCAGGGATGACTCCTCGCGAAATACTTGGAATATATGCAGGATCAGCTGTATGCAAGGCAAGCATCTTACCTGCTGCTAGCTCTCTGGTCTCGGTCTTTATAATCTTTTTTCGACTTCATTTTTGGGAAACACCTGGCAATACTCTGGGGTACTCCTGGCTCTGCACTGGGGAATTAGTCCTGGAGGTGCTTGAGGGACCATGTAGAATGCTTGGGATCAAATCTGGGTCAGCTGCATACGGGGCAAATGCCCTATCTACTTCAAGCCCAGCATTTGTAAAATTTTAAGCTTCTGTCCAATATAATAGATTATTCCTCTCTTCAGATAAAAGCCGACGAGTTACTAGTAGTAGGATAGAACAAATTCTACTAAGATGTGGATGATGGGTATGACTGAAAAAGCACTTTTTTCTAAGTGAATTATTCAGAGTATATATTTTAATTTAATGCTTACAAAAAGTTCATGTCAAAGCCCTTTACATTGCTCGCAAATACTAGAATAGCAGCAAGTACCGAAATTATCATAATCGCACTGGCAATTCAGTCGGCTTAATGACTTTAATTCATTCATTTTCATTGTTTGTACTTTCTGTACTGCAAAAGGAAGTTATGAGAAAAAAATAGCTGTTAAAAAAAAAAACAAGCTATCTGAATGATTATTTTTGGCTTAGGTCTCTAGATAGGGAATTCAAAGTTCATCACCTACCTTTAGTTCATCCCAGGAAGTGTCATTTCTGTTGCACAGAAGCAAGCTGCAGATGGTCTCTTCATTTGGAATGAGATGCAAAAAATGTTTGGAGCCAAATTTTGTGGCGCACAAGTCTTTCACACTTCCATAACTGCTAGGAGAGATTAAACCCAGGGAGCCAATAGGCTGTGCTCCTAGTTTTTAAAGTTTAGAAAACACAAAACATGTAAGTAAAGGTGATGCACTGAATCATTTAATATATTTATTCCCACTCAATAGAAAAAGATGATCTTTTGGCTGACAGGCTTCTTTGCACCTCTGTCAGAAGCTATTTTTGTACTGTACAGAAAAAAGGCACAATTTTGCCTACATTTTCAGAGACCATGTGTACCCACTTACTCAGCAACCAGAGGCCCCAAATGAAGAACTCTACTTAGTCGGAATAATGGCAAAATGAGGGGGAAAACTCTTTTTTAGGCATCATTATGATTTGGTTTTGGAGCCAAATGGTCAGGGGATAGTACACCTGGAGGTAACATCTGGTGATCAGCACACGAGCTCTTTCAAGAGCTGTTTGCCTAGCCCCAAGGTTTAATTTTTATTTAAAAGCACAAAAATAAGTGATACAAACAGTGGTGTAGTTGGAAATTAGAGGGGTTATTTTCAGTGGACATTTTGACGGGAGTGGGGCTGGCAACTGTTTTTTAATTTATTGAGTTACCTAATTTCTGTCAAAATAAAATAAAAGACGGTGAATCCTTATTTCAAGGCTATTCTATACATTAACTATTTCCCCCTTTCTTTCACACAAGTAAAATAGCAAACAAGAAACTTAATACAAATAAGAAGACTTATTTGACTTAATACAAATGGGATGACTTGAGAATTTCCAAAAAAATCTCTAAATGTAGTAAGGCTATAAAGGGGGGGGGGGGGGGTGTTCGAAGCTCAAAGAGCTAGTGCCTATTTTCTGTTGGAGGACGCCCCAGGTTCCATCCCACAGCACCACTGGGTGCTCTTAGGGCTGTTCAGAAGGACCTTCACGTTGGGAGTAGCTCCTGAGCACAGCTGAGAGTGGCCCCCAAACTAGAAATAGTAAACAAAAAATGCCCTTGAACTGCACAAGAAGTAACAATGGTAAAGTCTTAAGAATAAAACAGAACATCTGAGCAATGCATCATTTGGCACCAATTTTCTAAAAGATGTTTTCTTTCAAACTAACGCAGTTAAAAAACAATTACATCTAAAAACACTGCTAGGAAGTATCAGCCATAGAGACAGGCTGGGGAGGGGGGTGGGAGGGAAACTGGTGGTACTGGTAACGGGAAATGTACACTGGTAAAGGAAGGGGTATTGGAACACTATGACTGAACCCAAATATGAACAACTTTCTGTATATGTCATGGTGATTCAATTAAAAGAAAAATACTGCTAGGTGCTGGCTGAAGAGATAGTACAGTGGGTAGGCCACTTGTCTTGCATGTGCCCGACCCAGGTTCAATTCCCAGCACACGTTAAGTCAGTGGCCTGAGTCCTGCCAGGAGTGATCCCTGATGCATAGTCAGGATTAAGTACTGAGCACTGCCAAGTGTAGCCCCAAGCAAAATAAAAACACTGTCAGCTTCCAAAAATTTGTAAGAACCTACAAAATAATCACTGAACAATTTTAATTCTTTGAATAGCCTTTCTTGACTTTAGATGTCTCCAAGAATAAGGGAATACTTGGGTGATTTAAAACTTAAGAAAGAAAATGGCCATGTCCTGTATTTCATCCAGTAAAACAATAACCTGTACTATTTTTTTAGTCACTTAATAATGAGCAAGTCACTTGCGTTTGTTTGATTTTCTGGGTGGGTTTCTCCATGTAAGAGTAAAATGAAAAAAATATAAAAAAATGAATAAATTAAACATGTTGTCAACAGTCGAATCAAATATCCACAATTTATTACTTAACCTAAATAATGAGTAAAGAGGGATTTTGTGTGAAAAAAGAGAAAGTTAACCTTTATGTCCCAAGGAAGAAGGTTTAGGCTAAACATTGTTTACTTAGTATATTTCGCCCGGGACCATCTACCTCCTTGCTACCCCATCTTTTTGTCATTAAGAATTCTCTGCCCGCAAGATACAGACTAAAGCTCAGGCTATTAATTCCATATTCCAGTTCCATATGAGCTATGTAGCGTTGTGGACTGAAGTAGAAACCCTGTTCCCAGGGTTCTGGGAAAATACTTCATTAAAAAAAAAAAAATCACAAATCTGTAATACCCAATACTCAAAAGCTGAAAATCACCTGATTAATGAAGGCTGGGGAGTATATAGGTAAGGTTCTTGCCATGCATGCTGGCAACCTGGGTTCCAGCCCTGGCACTGCTAGGAATTAGCCCTGAGTACTACTGGGTGTGCCCCCTGCCCTCCAAATAAAACAAAAATAAAAACAAAAGAATGTGAGAGAAGGTGGAATGTGCTAGGGCATTTGCCTTGCACATAGCAGACCTGGGTTCGATCCCTGGCATCCCATTTGGTCTCCTGAGCACCACTAGTAGCTCCTGAACACAGCCAGAAGTTAACCTCTGAATACTGCAGTGTGTGCCCAAACAAACAAAAACAATGTGAGGGCTCAAAGAGAGGAGCATATGCCTTGCACACAGCAGGTCCAGGCTTGATTTCCAGCACTGCTAGGTCTCTTAGTACCCACTAGGAGCCCACTAGAGCAAGGATGTAGCCAAAAATTGGGGAAGGAAAATAATGGGCTTGACTTGTGTCAATGAATTCCAAAAAATTACTGATGTTAATAATTTCTTCTTTCATGATCACCTGACAATCTCATTACCTAGAGACAGCACATATTCAACGCGTAGCATCTATCATATTCCTTTGTCATCCTTTGTGAAGGGTTAAAAAATGACTACTAATTTGAGTGATCACAAAAAAATCACTTTTCTGATAGGTTGTCAATGAAATGAAAGGGTTATTTATTAAAGTGGCTCAAATCAGGAGCTCTTCAACATTTTACTTTGGTTCTAACAGAATGGCTTGTATTTGCTTTAATGTACTATTTATGAAATACAATTAATTTCTTTTTTAAATTGTGTGTGCCACTGAACAGTCATTTTAGAATGCCAGCTACTACACATACACTTATGAACTACTGATTTAAAAAGAGGAACTTCTACCAGCAAAATTACTTTGTGAGTGGGACTTCAGGATAGACTTTTGGTTTGTTTTGGGCGTTTGTTTTGGGCCATCCCTGGCTATTCTCAGGGATCACTCCTGTCCATGCTTGGAGACATTTGTGATACTAGGGGTAGAAGGTGGGTTGGCTGAGTGCAAGAAGAGTGTTTTATCCTCATACTATTTCTTCACCCAGAATGAATTTCAAGTATGAAAATGATCATCAAAATGCTGGATTTCTCAGTGGTCTAATGTATTTGGGGATTAACAATTTTAGATTTTGAGAGTTACTGCAGTAAATTTTGGGGCTGCAAAATACATAGCAGACTGCCAATTACTTTTTGAAATGTGAACAATAGACGATCTTTTTCAGAAACAACCTCTGCTGACAGAAATGATACTCAAGCTTGCTGTGAGGTTGGTAACTTCAAAAAAATTTTTTAAGATGGTCAAGAAGCTTTTACCTGTAACTTTACTCAGGGGTTCCATAAGAGCCAATCCAACTCTGTCTATGACAGTAACATGATGCACGCTGAGAAACTGCTTCAAAGACGGGTGTATTACTTTTTGGCACAGGACAAGATTTACGTGATCACTAACTAGCTCTTTTCCTAGGGTAAGCAATTGGTCCAGGGCTGCATTTTCAAGAGAAATCCCGTAACTAACCACCACTGTTCCTTCTCCAGTATCTGTAAGGTCTCCAGACAGGGAGGCACAAAAGAGTGCTACTTTGAAAGAATCTGATTTTCTGATAGGCAGGATCTTCATCAACTGAACTTCTGATATTTCGATAAGTATTCCAGGCAATACGGTAGAATCCGTAACCCTTGGGCCTTTTAAAGGAATAATTATACTCTTTCCTAAAACAACACACTCTCCAACATTTTCTGGAATTGTCAGCAAAAAGGCTTTTAGAATCAAAGTACTGATGTGGTCTACTTCCTTTCTGGTGAGCATGCAGGCAGGTTTGCTTGTTATTATACTACGTACCAAGCAAAGGAGCATTCTAGTACTACTCAAGTCGACTGGGATTCGACAGCCGCAGTCCTCAGACTTGAGGTAACTAACGCAGAGGCTCAGAAGCTGCTTATTCAACCTGATGGTGGTGGTGGGTGTTAGGTCTATTCTCTGAACATTGTCAATCAAGTTGCAGCAGAGGATGGCTGTGAATAAGCCACCATCGCTGAAGCATGACACGTGGCTCTGCATGGAGGTTGTCAGGATCTTTAGGACGGGGTGGGAGACGGAGAGGTGAGCCAGGAGAGCAGATGACTGTGAAGTCGTGCACACGGGCCCTCCGAGGCCATTGTGCAGCTGCTTCAGGCGGCCACAAGGGCCGTAGCATGACGTTAAGATCCCTTTCAAGACTGAGAGTGTGGTCCTGACCTTCTCACTGTTCAGCGGTTCGCTTTTACACACTGATGGTTTTTTGGCCTCTAAAAGAGACATTTTAGTTCAGGTAGCAATTTGTGAAGATAGCTTTTATTTTTGTTAACCATTGTATTCCATGGATTGCATGGCTGTGGATTTTAACATTAACCCAAATTTACTCATCAAGAATGAAAGTCTGCATATGCAACATCATGGTCATAAAATACAGATCTATGCTTATGAAGCTATTCAGAATGTAATCACTTAACAACATGTTAACGTTTCTAAAATATTTATTTTACTTCATTCTTCAATACTCTTTTGCTTGTCTTCGGACTGAGACTTTACAGAATGTTTTACAGCTCTCTGTAGAACGTATGTTCCAAGGTGGACGCCTACAAAAGTAATCCCAGCTACAAGGAGCCAATTCTTTCTAATCCAACTGGGGTTTTTCATCTCCTCTTCAGTACCAGGCACAGATTCAAAGTGACTTCTTTCTAAAAGAAATAAAAAGAGCCTTTTAGAGAAATAATGGCAAATTTTATAGTCTACAGTTTAGCAATCTGGTTTACTCATCAGCCCTTTCTTTCACGTTGTTTTGGGGCCATTACCCAGCAGTGCTTAGGGCTTGCTCCTGGCTCTGTACTCAGGGATCACTCCTGGTGGGCTTGGGGAATCATGTGGGGGTGCTGGGGCTTCAACCCAGTTGGATGGATTACAAGGCAAGAACACTACCCACTCTTTGGCCACTGATCTTTTTATTTTTTGTTTTGGAGGGGGAAAACACTAGGCAGTGCTCAGGGTTGACTCCTAGTTCTTTGCTAGGGCATCACTCCTGATGGGCTTGGGGGACCATAGGAGATAATGAGCTATCAAATCCAGGTTAGTTGTATGCAAGACAAACCCCTAACTGCTGTACTATCTCTCCAGTCCTCTACTCTTTAGAAAATCAAATAGCAAGAGACCAGAGAGACAGTGGGTAAGGTTCTTGCATTGCACACAGCTGACCCAGGCTCAACCCCTGGCCCGGTGTCCCTTATATCAGGAATGATTCCTGAGAATCACCAGCTGTGGCCCCCAAACAAACAATAAAAACGAAAACTGAATAACCAGGTGGCATAAGTCTCTAGAGAATGAAAAGTATTTATCAATTAGATTAAACCTTCATCTTTTTGTTCTTCAACAAAGCTTCATAAGCAAAGTACTACTTTTGGGGCTCAGGAGAAAGCACCAAGGTCTGGAACATACATGTTACATGTGAGATTCTGGGTTCAATCCCTGGCACTACATGGATCCCTGAGCACTGCCAGGAGTAGCCATCAGCAACACTGGGTGTGGTCCCCAAACCTAAATGTATCTGTGAGTTCTGAATGAACACACCGCTAAAATCTTGTAGTATGTGATCTTTTGTATGATATACCACTTTCATTAAGATTAAGTGTGAGGAGCCAGGATATAGAGGAGTGATACATATGCTTTTCATGCTGGAGGCCTGGGTGAGATTCAAGTTGGAAATAATCCCTGAGCACTGATGGGTATGACCCCAAAACAAAATGAAAACTCAAAGATCAAGAAAAGCTATGTTTGGTTCATTTAAACAACTTTAGCTCACCTGAAAACAACTTCTCCTTATAATTAGGAAATCAAAATGAAAACAGTACTGTAGGGATTCACTAAAGTTCAATCTATACTGATCGTTACAAACCAGTACAATGTGTTGTATACAGAACACCCCAGTACTCTAATGCTGCCCAGTCCATAAACATGCCTGGCTCATCAGCACCCCAGAGGACTTGCTATGGATGGAGCCTGTGTCAAGCAGCTGCCGCTTCCCTACGAAGGCTGGGGTGAGAGTACCAATAGAAGCTGGAGGAAGCACAGAGAGACCCAGCCTGAAGATGTACCTGCAGCCTAATGCTGAGGTGCCCACAGAGCATACAGACCTGGATCAGCCCTATCCAGGCAGCCAGAAGACGAAACGAATGATTTGCTGTTCACCAGAATCCAACTGCCAAGTACTGGAAGTAGGTTTAGCAAAAAAAAAAAAAAAAAAAAAAGAGTCTCACTGAATAGGTACCCCAGGTTTGTTTTCAGAATGCCTGGGCCCAGTCCAGGCACAAGCTCTTGGATGAAACTGGCACGGAGAAGCCAACAGAGGTAGCACTGCAGATGGGTATGCCATTTGGCCCAGCCTCCCTAAAACAGGATGGGGCCTTCTGGGGCCCCTTGAACATACTCCCACCCTTGTAGACTGACTCCACTACCCTGCTGTGAGTGACTTTCATTTCTTCAGGGCTTGGCAACCTGGAGAGCTTCGCAGTTCCTCACAAAGGACTTATAGCAACCTTTTCTCTAAACAGTCCTCACAACCACCCCAATTTCTTTAAGTGACTACAACCAAATTCTAACTATATTTTAAAATAGAGGATTTGAGCAACTTAAATAGATAACATTTTAGAATCTCCCCTGGGTTTTCAATGACCCTCGTGGCAAAGACAACAAAACCAACCAACCAACCAACCAACCAACCAACCAACCAACCAACCAGTCAAAACCTCCACCCCACCTCCCCAAAGGGACTACATTAAATTAGAAAGCTTCTGCACAGTAAAAGAAACTCAAGTTAAAATAAAAAATTACCCTCCTGAATGAGATAAAGTATAGCACACAATATGAGATAAAGGGTTGATATCCAAGATCTGTAAAGCACTCACAAAACTCAATAATACAAAATTCAACAAACCATTCTCCAACAGGTGAGGAGACAAACAGACCCTTTTCCAAAGACCTATAGACTGCCAATAGGCATATAAAAAACTGCTCATCATTCATAATTAGGGAAATAACAAAACAGAACAATGACATACCATCTCACGCCAGTGAGAATGACACATACAATCCATGAACAGCCAGTGTTGGCGTGGTGAGAAAGAAACCCTCACCCACTGTTAGGTGGAATGTAATCTAGTTTGGCCTCTATGGAAAGCATACATTAGGAACAGAACTACCAGGTAATCCAGCAACACCACTTCTTGGCATCTTTTCATAAAACACAAAAACATTATTTTGAAGGAATATATGCACATTCAAGATTACTGCCACACTTAGAATAACCAAGCGATGGAAACAATCCAAATGCCCAAATATGGATGAGTAGATCAAGAAGTTGGATTATATATACACAATGAAATACTACACAGCTCTAAGAAAGAACAAAATCATGCAATTTGCAACAACATTGATGAACTAGGGCACGTTATGCTAAGTGAAGTCAGTCAGAAAGAAAGGGAGAGATACAGAATGTACTCTCAAATGTGGGACAGCAAGGTAGCAACAAAGGGACAAAGGCAACATAACAAGAGAACTGATCCAGACTAGTTGGTGGCAAGGCGGGGTGAGAGCAATAATACAATGGGTAGGGTGTTTGCCTTGCATGCCACAGGGTTTGATCCCTGGCATCCCATAGCACTGCCAGGAGTAATTCCTGTGTGCAGAACCAGGAGCAACACTTGAACATTGTCTGGTGTTACTCAAAAAGATAAAAAAAGAAAAGAGTTGATGGGAAGGGGAGGTTGGAAGGGAGGGGTATTGAATGGGAAGTGGTGGAGGAAGGTGGGTACACTGGCAATGAATGTGGTATTGGAATTAGGTGCATGACAAACAATCATCAATGGTTCACCAAACCACAGAATCTTGATCAAAACAAAAAAGTTTGCTTCTGGAAACAGATAAAGAACTGCTAATCTAGTTCACGTAGTTGTCTGAATTAAAGAATTAACTGAAAGATTAACTACATAACATTAGGGTCAACATTTCATTTGCGGATGGAATACAGTTAAAAAAATTTTTTTAAATCCAAAAAATTTGTGAACTGTATTCTCAAAAACTTAGCACAATGGGTAAGGTGTTTGCCTTGCATGCAGCCAACCTGGTTGGCCCAGGTTAAATTCCTCCGCCCCTCTCAGAGAGCCCAGCAAGCTACCCATGATGTATTCAATATGCCAAAAACAGTAACAAGTCTCACTATGGAGACGTTACTGGGCAAGCTCAAGCAAACTGATGAACAACAGGAGAACAGTGCTACAGTGCTATTTTCAAAGACTGCCATGCGATTCTGAACCCACTCTATGAATTTTTGGATAATATACTCATTTTTCTCTATATATTCATGATCAGAATGTGTGCGCGCATGTGTACATATGTGAGCGAGTGTGTGTGTGCGCACACACACACACCCACACACACACTTATGAGTATCTAAAAAGAAAAAAGGCAGGGCAAAAAAGGATAACAAAATTTCTATCATACTACCTGGCTTTTTTTTTTATATTAAATAACTGTCTACTATTCTAAATAAAAATCAACTTATTCTTCTCTTTGTGAATACTCTTTTAAGTTTTTTGTTTCTCTGGGGGTCACCCTCAGGGCTTACTCCTGGCTCTGCACTCAAGGATCACATCTGGTTGGGCTGAGGGAACTATATGGGGTGCCGGGGACTGAACTCAGTTTGGCCACCTGCAACGCTGTTCCACTCCCTTTTAAGAATATTTAAAAACAATCTTTATTTGAGATAATATAGCCATAAATTATAATGTAGCTTAACTGCAGACCTCTACAAATAGGAAAATGTTACTATGATTTCTTTTTTTGTGAGGAGAACCTTTAATAGATATTTTATCAGAACTGATAGCATTTAATTACGAATAAAATGTCAAAAAGAAAATTCTCCAGTGTAGGATAACATGGGCTTGTACTTTCTCCTCCACCCCAAGGAGCTTAGGTTAACTTCTCCTTTGTGCTCTGCTTCCCCTATCTGTTAATCACTCATTCCCCCTAATCAGAACCTGTGACTTGTAAAGTCAAATTCTTCAGAGATCTCTGGATTTGGATTTGTAAATGAAATATTGCTTTTCTTTTTCCTTTATGTCCTTTGCAGTTTACTCTAGAGCAATATTCTTTTTGTACAGACACAGGAAGACAGTTAATGCTATGCTTTTATAACTTGAGAGTGAACTGACTCCAAGTAGTATTTACTCCTGAGCATGTCGTATTTTACTAGATTTAAGCCTCAGTTGCTTGCAGTTCCTAGCACCCCCAAAGCAGGGTCCTGACAAAGGGACTAGATGACCCATGACAAGGTGTAAGCTACCCTGGCACCAAAACGGGACAGGCCAAGGACCATAAGCTTATAATAAGAGCATGGTCATGGACAAATTCTGTCATAACCCAAAGAGAAGTGACTGGACAAGGATCCTGCTGGGGTTAGGAAGGACTAATCTGGCCCCAGGACTGTAGTCTGGGACAGACACACACACACACACACACACACACACACACACACACACACAGAGAGAGCAAGATTTCCCCGGGAGAGCCACCCTTTAAGCTTAATATATCTGTGTCCATACAAAATGACTAAAAAGATTATTCAGAATTAAATTTAAGATGATCTTTTAAATGTATATGGACTAAGGAAAGGAGAAACAAGCCCTGAAATTCTGCCCTTGAGCAGGTCTCCTAGCACGTTGATTGTGCTATCTGACCTGTGGGTATTTCGTGATGATTGAGGCAGGGAAACTGGGTGTGGGGTGACCACCTACTGGGTGTAGGTGAAGTGAATGAGGAGCAGTGTGAGACTGGGATGGGGCCTTCAGTGAGCCTGGAATAGGTGTGCGGGGAGAATGAAATAAACGGCAGGACAGAGATGGGAATAAACAGCAACTGATCACCAAGCAGCTTGGTGGCCATGTTCCCTCCTTCATGCATCTGCTGGCAGGCTGGGGTCGGGAAGTGACTCATGGCCACTGAACGCATGCGGCAAGAGTGCCACTCTATTATCGAACACACACTCCAGAGTTACAGAACTGGTTTTCTTATCTCCTGCCAGATGAATTTCCTAATTCAGAATCAGTTGGATTTTAGGACTTTAGACATAACACCCATACTTATAATACAGTACTTGAATTGGAGAGATGGCTCAGCGAGTAAGGTGCCTGCTTTGCACAAGTTTGACCTCGTTTGTTAAAGCCATGGTACCACATATGAGCCCAAAGCACTGCTGTGTATGGTCCAGAAACCAAAGGAAACATAAAAATTTAACAAAACGTTTCATAATACCTATAATCAATACAACCATAATACAGTGTTAATAGTCATAGTCAAACACATTATTTTTGCCAGAAAACTAAATCCTGAGTGAGATAAAGATGGCAAATTGTCCCAACTCAGTTTAGATCAACTTCTTTTACCAAAAGCATTATAAGAAAATGTTTGGGACTTTGAACTTTTAGGATTTTGAAATGATTAATAAGTGACTACAAACATGAATTACTTAACTACATACTTTTATTTCAGTGACTTTCAAAAGCAAAGAAGAATATGATTAGTTTGTTTTGAAAAGCAGTAAAGAAACTTTGTAAATTAGATTATTATTATTTGGAATGAATTTATGGTAAGGAGACAAATTTTCCTTTGGATACAACTCAATTCTCCTAAACTTGCATGCAAAAAGGAAAGGACAAATAACACAGACCGAGTGTCCCTTTTTTTTCCCTCATCCAAATGATTCTGCTAAGCAGATGTCAAAGTCTCTGCACAGCAAACTTTTCTAGAAGCAGCTGTAAAAAATGCTTTGCCTATGGGTTATAGTGAAAATATTAGGTACCTTACCAAATTAAGATTTTCTTGACATAATCCTATGCTAAAAGATCACATTTCCCAAGGTCAGACTATATACCATTTTGTCAGTCAGAATCAAACTTACCCAATGTTTGCTATTTTCCTTGGATGTGGCTCTTTGGAGGACTGGAAAGGGTCAGACTGTCTGCCTCAGGAACGCTGTCCTTACTAGGTACTTGGAAAACAGGGCTGCTTCTAATTCGGTGCCAACCCACGTGTATGAAGCCAATTAAAGGCACCATAACAATAAGAACTTTGTACTCTCTCCAGAACTTCTGAAAGCTCATAGTACTTCCGCATCAGAGAACCTAGGGAAAGGTTGGCAATTAGTGATTAGGAAATTTACGAAGCAGTGCTGGGCTCTCAACCAACAATGATAAAAATATTAATATTACTTGCTGGGAAAGCTTTACAAATCTTTGGAAACATCATGCATGGACATCACTTTCTTTACATGTAAGTTAAAATCTACTTTCTTTGAACCAGTAAAGAAATTACATTTACTTAATATTTTTAACAGAAGAATAAAATGGCAATACTTCTGCTTTTGCTTTGAGGCCATAACTATTAATTCTTGGGGACCATGTGGTAGCAAAGACAAAACCTGGGCCTCTTGTGTCAATCCATGTACTCAGTCCATGAAGCGTTATCTCTTACCCTCAAATAGTAATTCTTAAATTGAGCAGTAAGATTTAGATCCTGAGATTTCATGCATGGGTTTCAATTATAGCAAAAACAATTTTTGCTTCATAAATTAAGGCTGTTTTCACTTTTATGTACTGAGCCATCGCTTTTTTTTTTTCCTTTTTGGGTCACACCTGGCAATGCATAGGGGTTACTCCTGGCTCATGCACTCAGGAATTACTCCTGGCGGTGCTCGGGGGACCATATGGGATGCTGAGAATCGAACCTGGGTTGGCTGCGTGCAAGGCAAACGCCCTACCCGCTGTGCTATCAATCCAGCCCCACATTTTAAATTGTATATCAAGTAACTCTACCCTATAGGATTTACTGTCAATCTGGATTACATGGAAAAATTGTACTAATTTGCCGGGAGTTACAAACCTAGTTAAGAGTAAAAATAAACTTTTACCCTTGTCTTTGAATTAGAGATTGTTGGTGAGACCCAGGAAACCTATAGGTTTGGGAAATCAAGTCTGGACAACTTATAAAGACTCATTATACATTTTAATTTAAGGAATGCTCATTAGATTTTAGTGAATTACATTAAGATCTGTGATCCTATCAGTGATTAAACTTTCTAAGTTCCCATCTGAGCATAAAAGTTGACTAGAAACTGCTCCATTATTTAAGATATATACTAAGAATTACTTTTAACTGCATTCATGTTCAGTATCATGAAATTGCCTCATGAATTTTGTATAAATCCATTAGAAAAATGTCTGATCAGAAATTTTGTCTTCCCTTGTGAGTCAGAATAAAATATAATCCTGCTATTTATGTTCTGCATATACATATATAATAAATCTTGAAGAGTTATCCCTATGTATATGTATTATTCCTAGCATCATAAACATTTCTTCCTAAGATACAAATTCATATACTATAAAGGTTTTGCTATTAAACAACTACCTAGAAAGGAAAATATGGCCTTTTCTGTAACTGAAAGTATTTTATAGCTTTTTCCTTTGCTCCAGTGCTCTGGTATCGTACACACACACACACACACACACACACACACACACACACACACACACACACAATCAATCTTTGTAAGCCACACTTTTTCATTAACATATTTAAGTTCTATCTTTAGAGTCATTCAAAATAACTATCACGATTAACTTTCATTATGAAGCCCATCATGCAAACGGTTTTGAATAATTGACATTTGACCATTCAACACAGTAACTTTGGGGTGGCAGTGAGTGATATGGAAGGGAATTGCAAGAATACTAGTAAGGTTACAGCTTAGTGGGAAAGAGGGACAGAGGCAAAGCAACGACTGACACTGGCACTTTTGCCAACAAATTACCTTGAACGAATAGTTTAAAAGATGTACTACAGAGGCTTGCATGCAGCTAATTCTGGTTCAGTCCATGGCACAAGGTGTATATAAAAATATATACGCCATGGAGTCCACAGATACCTCAGCAGTATAGTACCTGACTTGCAGACTATACTGCTGACACTACTCCTGGTGATACCCCTGCCAAAGCAAACAAAAGATCAACATCTCTTTCAATTCTACCAGAAAGATCTCAAAATGTAAGAGTTTGCTACACTTTCTTGGCGATAGATCATTTGTAAAATGAAGGGGGAACATTCCTAGAAACCCAACACATCCTGCCTTTAGTTACCGGCTCTTTCTATTTAGCATTCCATTAAGTCCAATGAATTATAACCCTATTATATTAGGCTTATAGCAACGTATCTGCAGGATAGACACTGTAAAAAGTTCTCATTTGGCTTACTGGGCTTGCTGGGCGCCATCTGCTGGTCCTTTGCACAGAATGTAAGATATCCTTGACTGCTTAAAGTATTAGAAAAATAGTGACTAAAAAGAAAAAATTCCACTAGATGTGATTTAATCATAGAATATTACACAATGTAAAACAATTAATTAACCTACCTCTCTGACTGTGCTATTCAGTTTAATGGAATTGTAAAATGTCCTTTCTTTCAAAAGGACAATGTTAGCTTTAAGTTTTGGTGAATTTTTCCTCTTTGAATTCCAATTAGTAATACTCCAATACGGCATTGTTGGGAAAGATGAGTAAGTAGAGGCTGCTAAAATCTCAGGGCTAGGGTGAATGGAGACATTACTGGCACCCAAACAGGATGACAGTGATATAGTGAATACTTAAACAGTTCTTTTTTTTTTTTTGGTCCTCAGTTTTTAATGTAGCAGTTAATATCCTGGCATTTTTTGGTTTATACATTAAAAAGGGCTAAGAGGGCAGGAGAGTCCAGGGGTTAAAGTGTTTCCCTTGAAGGCCTGAGTGACAGTACAGCGGGTAGGGTGTTTGCCTTGCATGTGGCAGACCTAGGCTGGATCTCCTGGCATCCATGTGTTCCCCAGAGTATCACCAGGAGTAGTTTCTGAAGGCAGAGGTAGGAGTAAGCCCCGGTTGTGTCCCCAAAAGCAAAAAAAAAAAAAAAAAAAAAAAAAGTGTTTTCCTTGCATGCAGAAGCTGACCCAAGATTAAAAGCTGAGACTCCATGTAAGCCCTGGAGCACAGGGTCAGGAGTAAGCCCTGACCTTTTCCCACTTAAGGTGAACTTGATTGGCATCCAGTTGCTGGTTGCTGAGCCTAGGGAGCAGTGCCAGGTGGGATACAAGGGTGCAAGCAAAGTATGTGGAGATACTTTATGATCCCTGTTACCCTACTCCAGCTACTGTGAATTCACTGTGTTATAAACAAACAATTCATTGAAAAAAACTTTATGTGAGAATTACTAATTGTTGGCAGTATAAAATGAACCGACTGCTTAGCAGTTAATGAGGAAGAGAAATTCAGTTTACAGGCAGGTTGAGGCTTATTATAAATACAATAGGGGTTTTAAAGGTCTTAAGTTTATAAAGTTCCCAGAAAATTTACCCACCCTTCTACTGTTTTTGGGTTTTTTTGTTGTTGCTGGTTGTTTTGAGACCATACCCAGTGGTGCTCAAGGTTTACCTATGGCTCTGAGCTCTGGGATCACTCCTGGTGGGGCTGGGGGACCTTATAGAGTTCTGGGGATTGAAGCCAGGTCGACGGCCCGCAAGCAAGGCAAGTGCCCTACCCCTGGTCTATTGCTCCTCAGCATTTAGTATTTTCATAGTTGGCTCCCATTTGACCCTGAAGCCAGTGAGGTAGTAGGGGGTAGGGTGGGAATGGATTTATCCCCATTCAGGTGAGATTATAGAGTAAAAAGGCAGTTGCTGGGCTCTTCTAGCTACAGCAGTAACTTTCTGTGCTGAGGTCAACTCTGAAAGAGATGAAGAGAAAAAGAATTTCTATTGTTGTAGGCAGGCAGGCAGGTAGACAAAAGTGACCAGGCAATGTGCATTAAAAGAAACTACCAGGTGCCAGCCTAAAAGCACAAATGCTAGAAACCCAGAAAGTGGTAGAAAGGAAGGCAGCCAGATGGCCAGAACCCCAGAGAGACGCTCCAAAAGACCAGAGGCTGTGATAAGAATATGAAAGAACACCAAAAGCGTCAACACGCTGGCAACAGACACCTACCTACATAGAAAGCTCCAGTGGAGACAGTTCATAAAACTTTGTGTACAGAGTACATGGACAGAAACCTCTTCACCTTTGCATCTGTCTTAACCTTCTCTTACCATCTCAAAAGACCTGGGACTAGTGAAGAGATTAAAACTAAGACAGACCTGGGACTCCTGACTGTCCTACTACGTTCTACTTTACTTTGTTTGGGGTTCTAGTTCTCCCACCCCATAGGTTACTAGATCGTCCTCATCCACACTATCTGGCCATTTTTCTCCTCTGAGGAACACTAAAAGCAACTATTCTTTATTGATCACTTTCAGCCACGGCATAGTCTGTTTCCTTTCAAATGTATCTTTTTCTAGGATCATTGGCCACTTTTGACTTTTAGACCCAAGTAATAATCAGTTTTCTTTCCATTCTCCATGGTAAAACTGCTCTGCCCTATAAAAATCATTAATCTCACCACTTATTTCATCGCTGATGCATCTTGATGTTCTTGAAACTTAAACGACTAGGCATTTTTCTTCTCAGTCATCTCTAAGGCTCCTTGGTTTCCGTGCACCAACTCACCCTCTGCAGATCTGTACTTGGTTATTTTCTCCCAGCGAAGTTTCCTAGGTGTTCTCTTTTGGAATGAAAACTTGTGTAAGGCCACAGCCACCAACGACTGCCACACAGCCCCTCAGGTGAGACCCACCCGTGTATGTAAAAGCTACTGTTCACTTGTTCTAGCTGTTCACAGAATGGTATAAAACCACCTTATATGAAAAATAATCTTTCTCTTTTCTCCAAACTGCTCTTCTACCGGTACTATATTTTGATTTTATTAAAAAGTACTAGGGGTGGGAAGGGGGAGGCAGAGAGGTAGTACAGCTAGTAGGGTGCTTCTTTGCACGCAGCTGGTCTTCAGTATGATCCCTGGAAGCCCATATGGTCCCCAGGAGTAATTCCTGAGTGCACTGCTAGGAATAACCACTGAGTAACTGAGTGCGGCCCCCCAAACCAGAAAATAAAATAAAAAGACTGGGGCGGGGGGAGGTAGGTGGAGTGGAAATTGGGACACTTGGCAGTTCTCAGCGATTATTCCTGGCTTTGTGCTCAGGAATAATCCCTGATGGTGCTGACAGACC